TAATAATACTTGTCTCACACAGATGAGCTGTAGAAATGCCTTTGGCTTAAATGCCATTTTTTGCCTTGAGGATATGGTATTGAACAATTGTTCACCTTTTACTGTTGGGTTAGCAGTCTGTCTGGTGAAGAAGGACGCAGAGAGGGCACTCAGTGGGATGTGTTGGGTTTAGTCCTTACACAAGTAAGTCCAGACCCTCAAGGGCATAAAGCAGTGCTGGGTCTGCTGACTTGGCATCAACACCATCTCCTCAAAGCTTTGTCACTTCTGCAGGGGAGGGAAAGATATAATTTCCCCAACCCAAACCCATTTGTGGAGGATGACATGGATAAGAATGAGATCGCCTCTGTTGCCTACCGGTAAGTCAGCTGTGATGGGGGTGTGGCCAGATTGGAGCACAGACCCTGTCCTGGGCTGTCTGGGATGGGCCATCCAAAGCAGCAGATGTTACAGAGAAAGAATCTTGCTGTCTTTATAGTTACCGCAGGTGGAAACTTGGAGATGACATTGACCTTATCGTCCGCTGTGAACATGATGGCGTCATGACTGGAGCCAATGGGGAAGTGTCCTTCATCAACATCAAAACGCTCAATGAGTGGGACTCCCGGGTGAGACGCCATTGCAGCTGTCTTCCCTGTTGTGTGTGGGGTTGGCTGCAATGAGATGAGTAACCTTTAAGTGCTCGCAGAGCCAAGGCGGGTGGGGGCTGCAGTTTCTTGGTCCACATAAGTTCCTGCTGACAGAACACTAAGTCAAGGGTTCTGCTTCTGACACCTTTTGTCTATTCGTTCTGGCCGCCCATTGGCTCCAGCTCTCTACACATCTGATTTTGACCTCGTCTTGGGAAGAGCAGTCACTCTCTCCGACCTCTTTCTGTATATACTCGGCCTCAAAAGACTCTAAGACAACAGTTCTCCACCTCTATGGGTCATGACCCCTTTGGAGGGTTGCATAGCAGATATCTAAATAACGATTCATGAAAGCAAAATTACAGTTATAAAGTAGCAATGAAATAATTTTGTTGTTGGGGTGTTACAACATGAATATTAGGGGGTCACAGCATTAGGAAGGTTGAGAGCCTCTGCTCTAAGAGCTGGACAAGACATGAGTGCACACCTGTGGGCAGGACCATCAGGTCAGGCATCCTCTTTCTTCCTGGCTTTATGTGTGGCACTCTGTTGAAGTGAAGGGCCTCTGTACAGGATAAAGAATAGTGGCAAGGACAACTCTTGCCCAGCCAGCCTGTGATGGTTAGCTTGCCATCACAATGTGGCTAGAAAACCATTCTCTTGTGGGGCCAGCGGCCTTCTCCCACACTTACACTGTAGCATCTATCTTTCCTGGTATTGGTACTGTGTGAAATCACACATCCTTGCCCCACTCACAAGTGAGGTTGGAGCCTTAGGGTAAATTCCCAAGCAGCTCTTGTCCCAGAGTACCTTATACTTCCAATACACATGAAAAGAAACTTACAGCTTAAAACAGCGCCTACCCCTTCCCCACATCTGGAAGTCTGCCTATGAAGCATCAGGTGCTGGACTCCTGCCCTCAACCCCACCTGAGGCTCGCCCACCTGCCCCTCAGATCCCAAGCTTCCTTCTCCGTATGTTCACCATGGCACACTGTGAAGACCTTTTCACCACACAGCACCCTTTAGTCGCTGGGTTTTATCTCCATCGTCACCCGCAGGTGGGGTGGCTACGTACAGCGATGCCCGTGCCTTTGTCTCTTGTATGGTAATTGGTCCACCTCTGACTCAGGCATACTCTGCACTTCCTAGTGGGCCCCTGTCTTCCAGAGGAGGCCCTGAGGCCTTGTGATGGGTGCCCCCCTCACCCAATAACCAGGTTTCCTTCTGCAGCATTGTAATGGCGTTGACTGGAGGCAGAAGTTGGACTCTCAGCGTGGGGCTGTCATCGCCACTGAGCTGAAGAACAACAGCTACAAGTTAGCGCGGTGGACCTGCTGTGCTTTGCTGGCTGGATCTGAGTACTTGAAGCTCGGGTGAGACTTGTGTGCAGGTGCTGGGGCGGGCCTGGGGCAAGGGCTACTTGCCTCCTTTGCTTTGGGAAAAGCAGCAAACCAGACATTGCCATCTGTACTGCCCAGTGTGACCACCCATCCTCTTCCCCCACAGGTATGTGTCCCGGTACCATGTAAAGGACTCCTCACGCCACGTCATCCTGGGCACCCAGCAGTTTAAGCCCAATGAGTTTGCCAGCCAGATCAACCTGAGTGTCGAGAACGCCTGGGGCATCCTGCGCTGTGTCATTGACATCTGCATGAAGCTGGAGGAGGGCAAGTACCTCATCCTCAAGGACCCCAACAAGCAAGTCATCCGAGTCTACAGCTTGCCTGATGGCACCTTCAGCTCCGAGGAGGACGAAGAGGATGAGGAAGAGGAGGAGGAGGAGGAGGAAGGTGGGTAGAGCGGGCTGATGAGGGAGCCAGGCTAGTGCTGTGGTCACCTTCACCTTGGCAGCACATTAGGAGCTTCCTGGCACTTCCTGTGGGGTGGCACATCCAGTCCCCAAAGGAGACAGGGAGAAGAGCTAGAGAGGCCTGGGCAGCTGTTGAGGAAGCAAGGCCTTGTGGATCGGTTGGTTATATGACCGCAGAGCCTCGCTGGCTACTACAGGAAGTGGCTCAGCCTTAGAAGGGTCAGGAGGGCTCAGCAAAGAGGAGGCCTTCCTTCAGCACTCGGGTTCCTCAGAGGTCCAGAGGGAAAAGACGCATTGCATCACGTGGTGAGGCTCACTGCTCTTACTGTTCTTTTCTTGCAGAGGAAGAAACTTAAATGAGCCGGCTTGGTGCCCTCGTGTGTTCCACCAGATGTGCTTGGGCAGCATGTGTGGCTCCTACTCTCTGTGGCAGATGGAATAAAGTTTAAGTCCGTTTGGTTTCTTTCCTTCATCCTCTGCTTCCATTGTGATCTGCAGCCCGCCCTTCTCCCAGCAGCGCCTGGGAGAGGGAGACAGAACCAGCAATTTCTGTAGCTTCTGGCTGCTGTTGAATGAGTGGCTCTGTCAGTGCTGGGATGTTGTGAAAACTGCATTCCTGGAGAGGATGAAGGCCTTGGGTGTTTTATCTCAGAACCCCATGACCTGTCCCTTCATACAGTGTGGGACGCCTTGTGGAGAGAGATCCCCATGAGGACTCCTAGCCCTAGCACCCCCCAGCTGGTGCCTTGAAGCCTCCAAGAGCAGGGTGTGGTGGGGTAGTGTCCCTTCTTGAAGACAGCTTAAAGTATGCTGGGTGGCAATTCTAATGGCTTACAAGGTTGGCTTGGGTCTGGAGAAAGAATGTCAAGCCAGTCTGCACAAAGCAATGTGTCACATCAGAACTGTGTGTGTTTAAAGGCTGTGTAGACTTCTCTGGGTGCTGTTCTGAACACTTTTGTAATTATCCTCCCTGGGTAATGGCCCAAGCCTTCCATAAAAGCCTCACCTACCCCTTTAGAACTGGAATGTGGGTGGAAGCTCTGTAGATAAACAGGTTCAAGACTGGGATTGCCTCCTAATTTCAACACAGTTGAATTTAAGAACCCAGCAAGGGATGCTGGGATTGATCGTGTTGGGAAGCAGAGCAGAAAACTTGGAGTTTCTGAAAGTTTCACTGTAGTGAAAAAGTCTAATATGCAGCATCCCTGGCTACAAGTGATGTGACTAGTGTTTCGACCTTCAGGAATGGACTGGAATCCAGATCCTTTGCACAACCCTTGGCCTAATCCACGTTCATCGGAAGCTGCTGTGGCTCTCCCCTATGGGCAGCACATAATGGCTAGGAACTGTGTACCTAGCTAGTTCTTTGGAACCCTCCGTCTGGCTTGAGGGCTGGGTCCTGACCAGCATTTCATTTCCATCATCAAACCAGCTTCCATGTTCTAGTTCGCTCCGATGCCCATTCATCCTGCCCACAGCAGCTAAGAAATGATGTGTTCTGCCTGATTTTGGATAAGGTACCTTGTCTAGTCAGGATAGCTCCAGACTAAAGCACCTGTGGGATGAGGTCTCCACAGTGACCACAAAATAAAGTTTGTGTCTGCCCCTAGGGGGCTTTTCTTGCTTTAGTTCAAGCTGTAAAGAAAACAGCTGCGTTCCTGGGTGTGCTTTCACAGCACACTCAGAAAGGTGTACATTTCTCAGGGCAAATGAGGAATCTTTAAGTGGGCAGAGTTCCAAAGCAAGCCTCCAAAAGCACTGCTCCCTTTTCATGGGAAGCAGCTCCAGCCAAGCAAAACTGCAGTAGAGTCCTTCCAAGCTCTGTTCCCTAAGAACCCTCGGCTTCGATTCGCTGGAGTCTGCGTCGCCCTGTGAAGGTAGGTCTCTCTCTGTTCTTCCTTCATACAGTCACATACTATTCTAACCAGGTCACCCGGAGGAGGCCAGCCTGGATATTCAAATCCTCTTCCTCCCATTCTCGGTGCCTGCCCCGGGTTTCAACTTGAGGCTTTGGTTTTAGGATTTTAAAGCAGGATCTCCCACTCCAGGGAATCGCCTCTCAATTGGGCTTACCTTGTCTCAAAATCCACTTAGCTGTTGTCTTATGCAAACGTCACTTCTAAACGTGTATTAACCAGTTACAAAGTGCTGGTAATTGCTTCCCTTGCCCACTCCTCCGACAACTGGCCGATCAAGTCTTTGGCAGATAATTGGTTCCTCTGTCTTGGCCCCGTTACTCTAGTCATCAGTCCCATAAAACTTAACAGTCTTCGGCTACGGTAATGAAGGGATATGAATGCCAAGATTTTCTCCAAAAATCTCTCATCTCTGACACGTGGATTAGCACAGATCAAAAGCAGAAGCCCGGTGTCTCATCACAAACCTGCTGTTCCCCGGGGTGCCTCTACCCTCCACAACAGCGCTCACAGCACGTGCACGCACTCCTGCCCCGGCCACCCCACCGGTCCCGGCGTGCCGCGCGTGGCGCACGTGACCCCGCCCCCTGCCATTGGCTGGGAGGGGAGGGGCGTGGCCGCCGTGGCGCGAGCCAGCCAGCGCTTCCCTCCACCGCAGCCTGCGGTAGGAGCATCGCTGGGCCACAGCGGCGGCGTGCGGGTCGGCCGCGCAGCCGGGGCACTGCGCACGCGCCAGAAGCAGCGGCAGAGGCTGCGGCAGGTGTGCCGGGCATCCTCATGTGATCCAGGGGCCTGGGGCGGGGCCTTAGAGGCCACACCTCCTTCAGTCCCCACCCCCCCCCCCGTGGAGGGTGAGTGTGCCTCTGAAGGGTTCTAAGGGTTCTACCCGGGGAGAACCCCTAAAATGTAGGGCGCATCGAGAATGCGCAGAAATTGAGGAACCTGCCTCTCCCCTGGGGTGGAAGTTACCATGACAATAAGGGAGTCTGGCGCCCTGGGAAAGAAGACTGTGGAGATGTGCTGTGGGGATTCAGGATTCCTATGGGCCCTTGATCCCACGTAGAGGGGATGGAGGTGTGGTAGATGAGTCTCTAGGTCCCGGCTCTCAATTCTGGCCCCGCCCCAGGTCTCTCAGGCGTGCCCCAGGTTTCTGGTTCCCTCGGGAAAGCTGGCTGTCACCTGCTGCCAGCCACGAGGTGCGAAGCCTCCCCTCTGCTGTGCTGCAGGATGGGTCCCTTGGGGCTGCTGCTGGCCCTAGCCCTGCACCTGGCGGCGTGTACCCGTACGCACCGGGACTACTGCGTGCTGGGCGCGGGTCCCGCGGGCCTGCAGATGGCCGCCCTCCTGCAGCGGGCCGGCAGGGACTACGAGGTGTTCGAACGCGAGTCAGCGCCCGGCAGCTTCTTCACACGCTACCCGCGCCACCGCAAGCTCATCAGCATCAACAAGAGGCACACAGGCAAGGCCAACGCCGAGTTCAACCTCCGCCACGACTGGAACTCACTGCTCAGCGACGACCCACGCCTGCTCTTCAGACACTACTCGAAGGCTTACTTCCCAGACGCCAGCGACATGGTGCGCTACCTGGGTGACTTCGCCAAGTGTCTGGGGCTCCGCGTGCAGTACAACACAAACATCACCCACGTGGCTCTGGACAAGGATCCACAAGCCTGGAATGGCCATTACTTCATCCTGACCCAGCAAAACGGCCAGGCTTACCAGTGCAGGTAAGGACCGTGTTGCTCGAGCTGGGCCTCACCCAGAATCAGGACACCACTTACCTGGCCTCGAGATGGGAAAGAATGGCAGAATAACACCACTTGGGCTCGGTGCTGATGTTTGGCACAGCCAGCACCTCTTAAGGTATGTCCTGACAATGCTGTGGCTGAGTATGCTTGGAAAAGTCTAGAAATTTATCCTCTAGCATTTGCCAGGCTTTGCTGCCGTCTCTATGATCCTCTGGTGTTGGGTACTGCACATAAAGCATAGCTTGTACCCAGAAACCCTTGCAGTCAGGTCCAGGCTTTTGACAATGCAACACTACATCGTCGTCTTCAAGATTCAAGCTCAAAAACCATGCAGTCAAGTCACCAAACACACACAAATGTAAGTCTCGTGTTTTAAATAAGCTTGCCAGCCATGTTGGGCCACATTCATAGCTGTCGTGGACCCTGTGTGGCCTCGAGACCATGGGTTGGACACATCTGATAGTTTCCTAAAATAAGTATTCACGAAACCCATGCCTAGAAAAGCAGGGTGAAGTGTCCAACCAGCATTAGAGACTGGTCAGTAGGATTTCAGAACAAAACCACAGCAGAAGCCCAATAGACATGGCTTCCTGACCGATATATACCTTGCTTTGGCATGGGAGACATTATGTGGGCACCTCAAATTTGTTCAACACTCACAAGGGACGTAGAGAAGGTATTCCCTAATATCCATTTGGCAAGTGAAGATCTGAGGCTCAGTGACATTGACCACCACACTGTCACACCACTAACAGTGGGACTTTGCTGACACCTAAGCCTGTGTTCTTTCTGCTACTCCGGCTCCCTTGCTGGCTGTCGGCTTCACTCCTGGCTCCAGACAAGTGTATGACTACTGTCCATCTGTTCTTGCAACCCAGAGAAGGGTGGGCCGGCAGGGGAGATGTCCTGATTGAGACTCTTGAATTTTAGATAATTTTGCTCTGGGAGAAAGGAGTGAAGAGCAGAGAAAACAAGGTTGGGAAAACAAGAGCCTGTTCCCTGTGCATGTCCCTTCTGTGGATGAGTTCTACATGGGACCTATCCTGTAATCAAACTAGTCTGCAGCCCGCAAAATCCAGATACTCAGCCGCCACCGCTCCGTCGAGAGCGGAGCTGGACATGGTGGTGCGCATTTGGGACACTGAGACAGGAGGATTACCAGATCCCAGGCTAGCCTGGGCTACATATCAAGCCCACATCTCAACAGCAGGACTTTGGAATCAGGCCCTTCTGTGCTTGGATTGTGGCTGTACTTCCTTGAAGAGTTCTGAGGCCCTGACCCACCGGGCAGGTGGGCGGGGGCTGTGTCTTCTCACCTGTGAAGCAGGCCGGGACACCAGCCAAGGCGTGTAGGAGATCCTGGAGTGGATAAGAAGACAGGATAAACACACCAGCACAGTGTGGGTAGATGTGTGTGCCTGGCCTGCAAGTCAGGGTAGGAGCTTAAAGCCAGGCTGGAGTTGCTGCCTCCTACACCCCCTTCCCCCCCACTGCTGTGTTCCAAGCTAGCAGAAACGTTTTTGGTTTATGATAACATCAATGAGCAAATTTTTTTTTTGGTTTTACGAGACAAGGTTTCTCTGTGGCTTTGGAGGCTGTCCTGGAACTCACTCTGTAGACAAGGCTGGCCTCGAACTCACAGAGATCCACCTGCCTCTGCCTCCCGAGTGCTGGGATTAAAGGCGTGCGCCACCAACGCCCGGCTATAAATGAGCAAATTTATTCCCCAGAAAGGGTACCCTCCCAGGAAAACAATGAAGGACTGTGGCTAGCTCGGAGAGAGGCGGATTGGCATGGGTCAGTTAATGGCAGAGGGAGTAAATGGGTAAACATACGGGTGGACTTGTGTTTGAGGATCCTGGGATCAGGATGAGGTTAGGAGAGCCACACTGAGTGACTGTATAGCTGACCAACTGAGGCATCTTTTTTTTTTTGTCCCTGTCTGCAGCGTCCTGCTTGTAGCCACTGGTTTGTCAGTCCCCAAACTGGTGGACTTCCCTGGCTCTGAACATGTGGAGGGTTATGAGTCCGTATCCGTGGACCCTGAAGACTTTGTGGGTCAGAATGTACTGATCCTGGGCCGTGGGAACTCAGCCTTTGAGACAGCAGAAAACATCTTGGGAGTCACAAACTTTGTCCACATGCTGAGCCGCTCGCGGGTCCGGCTCTCCTGGGCTACACACTATGTTGGAGATGTCAGGTATGCTGCGTCCGTCCCTGCTGCCGTGTTCTGTCCTACAAACCCTGGACCAGGCTGCTTCTTGATACTATAACAAAATGTCGGAGGCAGGGTCCATGGTTTCAGGCGCCAAGCCCGGCAGTATGTTGCTGTCTCTGACAAGCATTCACTGGCACCTGCCTCCTAGCAGATGGTGTCACAGCAACAGGCACAGAGAGAAAGCTGCAGAGCAAGGGGGAGGCCGGGCTCCCTCCCCTGTAGCAACCCTCCCCCTGGAACTAACTGCCCTAATCTCTCTGAGGATGTTACCCCAGTGAGCTGCCACTAGGCTCCACCTCTTAAAGAGCTGTACCACCAAGGCCTGGGGATGTAGCTCAGTTGGTAGAGTGCTCAACTCCTGTGTGCTGAAGCCCTGGGTTCAATCCCCGGGTCCACACAAGCAAGGTGACACACCCGCAGTCCCAACTCAGCACTCGGGAGGCGGAGGCTGGAGGATCAGAGTTCAAGGTCACCGTTGGCTACTTAGTGAATTTGAGGCCAGTTTGGGCTACATGGGATCTTATCTTTACCAGAAAGAAAAAAGGAGAAGAGAAGAAAAAAAGTTCACCACCTCACAGTGTTACTTCTATGGGGATTAGGCTTCCCGTGGCTTCAAACCTTAGAAAGCCCCAAATGAGGGAGTGTCCCCATCCTTGGTCGAATTAGACAGCCCTCCTGGGCTTCCTTCTTTCCTCTCTTGCCTGCCTGCGGGCCCAGAGCCATCAACAATGGCCTGCTGGACACCTACCAGCTGAAGTCACTAGACGGACTCCTGGAGTCAGACCTGGGATATCTGGCCCTCGTGAAGGACAGCAAGGGCAAGTTCCACATCACCCTCAGATTCTTCCTGGATGAGAACAACAGCAGCCAGAGTGCAGACGCCATTCCCCTCCCCCAGGATGACAATGACAACTTCGCCATGCGGGTGGCCTATGACCGTGTCATCCGCTGCCTGGGCTGGAAGTTCGACTTCTCCATTTTCAACCAGTGAGTCCAGTTGGGGTAGAGGTAGGGACCCCTCACCAACACCTTCAGACCTCCCTGGGGGCTCGGTGGATTTCAGAGGAGTAAGACTCGGGGAGGGCGCCAAGGGCCTTGTCCCCAGCAACTCTTATTCCTAACAACCCTCTGCTCTGGCAGGTCCCTCAGACTCTCCTCGGGGACTGAGTTCAGCAAGAAGTACCCACTGATCAGAGCTAGCTATGAGTCCAAAGGAAGCCGGGGTCTCTTTATCCTTGGGACTGCTAGCCACTCCGTGGACTACCGGAAATCTGCTGGCGGCTTCATCCATGGATTCCGATACACAGGTAAGCCTGGCTGAAGGACCACTATCCCAGGGTCCTTACTTCCAAAAGCATCAAAAGGACGTTTTCGTGGTCTGGGTCTATGTCTAGAAAAGAAAGGCATAACGGTAGCCTGTGACATGCTTCGCCCCATGCACTTTGAACTGATGTGTGTTCACGGGGATGGGTGGTCTCACACATGCCACTTTCACAGGCCTAAGTAAGGTGTGTGGCCCCGTGAGGCAGCTTAGCTCATACAGCGTGTGGGAACACCTCAGTGAAAAGTTCCAATTGATTATGTCAAGTTTTTTGTGAAATTTTCAGTACTAAACGTGTTACTCTCCTACTATCTTGATAAAGTTTACTGTAAAATACAAAAATATATATATATTTAAAATAATTTGAGGGCTGAGGACATAGCTCAGTGGCAGAGCACTCATACAGAGTGCCTGAGGCCCTGGGTTCGAGTCTCAGTACGATGAGGAGGAGGAGGAAGAGGATTTGACTTATTGCATGAGAATATCCCCAACCAGAAACTGATGCTTTGTGGTGGTAAGGATAAACGGGAAACGAAAATGAAGGCAAGGAATAAATTACCACATGTTAAGTATATTCTAAAGGCTGAGCACACACATCCCTACAATACCGCCAGCATCCTTCGTGGTGGCTAGAAAGACTTCTTCCTTTCTTTCCTCTTTTATTATAATTAGTGTGTGTGTGTGTGTGTGTGTGTGTGTGTGTGTGTGTGCAGGGCATGTACCGTGGCATGCATGCAGAGGTCAGAAGATAACTTGCAGGAGTCAGATTCTCCTTCCACTATGGGTTCTGGGGCTCAAACTCAGTTCTTCACCTTGCATAACAAATGCCTTTACCCACTGAGCCATCTGGCCAGCACAGCCTTTGTTTTCTCAGAGGAAACATCTGAGGGTCAGAGAGATCTGTGTGCTTGATTTGGTTTCTGGAGGAAGCAGTGGACTAAAGCAGCTGAGTGAGCTGTTTAGCTGTTACCCACGGCTTTTCAGGGGCAGGTGCCGTCAGCTTGCTGTGGATTGTGCTTGAAATGTTTGCGTTGCATTCAGTGGATGGAGGACCAAGACTCAGGATCCTTCTTACCAGGACTCCAATAGGAAGCTTTCCCTCGGCCTCAGTGCTGTTCTGTGTACCCTCCACCTCCAGCCCAGGGCCCACAGTGCTGAGGCCAGAGAAAGAAAGTTGACCTGTAAGAAGTAACGGTAGCCGAGCACTTGTGTCAGGATCAGGGTATGGTAGCCCAGGCTACTAGCCTCAGACTCCCAGTCCTCCTGTCTCAGCCTCCCTGGTTCTGAGATTAAAGATGTGCACTGCCACACCTGGTTTGTGTTTTGTTTTCTCTGTAATCACTTACTGGGGGCACAGATGTGCCACAGCATATGTGTCAAGATCAGAGGACAGCCTGCAGGAGTCGGTTTTCTCCCTCTGCCATGCAGGACCTGGGGATTGAACTCAGGCTTGATGGCAGTACCAAAAACAATGGGGGAAATCTTGCCATTCTCTGAGTCTTGTTCTTTCATGACCTTCTCCCACCCTCACCCCCACCCCCACCCCAGGGAAGTCCCATACCTCACTCAGCATGCTGTCACCTGCTTTATAGGTCTTGCCTTCTCCAGGTGCCAAGTTTGGTCTCCATCCCAGGCACCTCCCAGGCTCCTGTAGCTTCAGCTCCTACACCTTGCAAACTCAGCTTGACCACTGTTTCCTCCAGGGAGCCAGAGGCCCAGACCCACCATGGCTCCTTTCTTGGGAATCCCTGGTTTGTGGTGCATTCTCATTGTCTTGGGGGGTTTTATTAACTTTGGAAGAACAAGTATCTGCATTGGGCCATTCCACGACAGGATAAAAAGCACCAAGTATAAAGAAAACCACCTTGCTGCTGGCTTGGGCAACAGTTGCTGTCTACAAAAAATAATAAGAATAATCTCAGAACAAGGCAGGGACAGGCAGCTTTGGGCTGAAACAGAGAAGCGGCCAGAGTGTCCATGGGGCTTTAGATAGAAATGGGAGGTGTGAAGCTCTGTGTCTGAGTTGATGTGCCCAGTGTAAAGGATGGCAGTTGGCAGGGAAATTTCCGTGTGCAGATGGCCTCAAGCAAGGGTGGGCCACTCAGACCAAATCCACGCCCACCCACACTTTCCTGATACCCCAGAGACGAAATGGAGGAGGGTCCCTGATTGTATGTGGCTATGAAGACAGAATATTTGTCATCTGGCCTTTTTTTTTTTTTTTTTTTTTTTTTTGGTTTTTCGAGACAGGGTTTCTCTGTGGCTTTGGAGGCTGTCCTGGAACTAGCTCTTGTAGACCAGGCTGGTCTCGAACTCACAGAGATCCACCTGCCTCTGCCTCCCAAGTGCTGGGATTAAAGGCGTGCGCCACCAACGCCCGGCCTGTCATCTGGCCTTTTACACACACTTCTCACCACCACTGTTCCCCAGGCCTGGGCCTCCCTCCATGAGCCTAGATAAAATCTTGGCCCTTCCTCCCTCTGGCCATTTCAGTGCGTGCTGTCCACCGGCTCCTGGAACATCGGCACCATGGCATCGGCTGGCCGTCCACAGAGCACCCCATCACACAGCTGAGCAGCTCCATCATCCGGCGTGTAAACGAGGCTTCTGGGCTGTACCAGATGTTCAGTGTGCTGGCTGACATCATCCTGTTGAAGGAGTGAGTGCCCTTCCCACTCCATCTCCCCAAGCCCCCTTTACCATGAACCCTGCTCCTTGCTTCTGGCTCTATTCTGGTGCTGAGTGACCAAGTTGTTTCTGAAGTAAAGGAGGCCTACAGAGGCTAAATCTTCCTGGCAGGGAATTAATTCAGTGAGGTAAATACCACAAGGTGTGTTATGGATTTCTTTTTTCTTTTTTTCCAAGACAGAGGTTCCTCTGTATTGTTTTGGAGTCTATCCTGTAACTCGCTCTGTAGACCAGGCTGGCCTCGAACTCACAGAGATCTACCTGCCTCTGCCTCCCGAGTGCTGAGACTAAAGGTGTGCGCCACCAACTCCCGGCTGGATTTCTTGCTATTGGTTTGGGTAGTTAGTTAACCTCTCTGTGCTTTCTTGCCTTATCTGCAAAATGGGCAGACCTCCCTTGCAGCATTGAAGAGTGAAGAAAAGAGTCCCCTCAGGCAAGGACCAGGTTGGCCCTTTTAGATCAAGTGATCTCTAGCAAATCACAGGACACACAGAGCCTGAGGACACAGTGCAGGACGTGTGAGGAGAGAGCAAGGGAGGATTTACAGAAGACAGGCAAGTAAGACATAGACGAAGACCCCAGAGTCAGAGGACACGCCCTGATGCAAAGGTCTGACCACTGAACATGACGTTCAAGGACACAGGAAGTCCAGGAGCTCAGCATCCGCTCCATGAGAGCCGTCTAGATCAGGGCGTTCCTGGCAGGACCCAGCTCACACTCAGTCTCAGGCCTGTCACCCACACTGGCCCAGCAGCCTTCTGCCACACTCAGTCTGCCCTCAGTGCAGCCACCAGCCAGCCTTTACAAGGAGATCCACACTGTTGTCCTTGTGCCCCTACTTCCCACAGGCCAACAGCTCCCCTCCTCCATCGCTTAAACCCACAATCACCGCCCCTGCCTCCTTCACTCATGCCCCGTGCCCTCCTCGACCCCGATACTATTGTCTCCACCTACAGTGGCAAGCTTCTCCCCACTTTCCCTCACCCAGAACCTGCCCCAGGTATACCAGAAGGCACAGCTGCCGCAGTGATATCCTAGGGTGAGAGACTCCTGGCTAGTCCACACCACTGTACCTGTGGAGAGCTGGATGTACCCGCCCACTCCCAGTGAGCCCACATCCCTCCTTGGTTCTGAGTTCCCCTGGGTTCCCACACACAGGAATGCTACAGCGTTTGAGTACTTGGAGGAGTTCCCCATGCAGATGCTGGCCCAGCTGGAGACGCTCACAGGGAGGACAGCACGCCATGGGCTCTTTGTCATCAACATGGAATATGGCAAAAATTTCTCTGGGCCTGAGAAGGACGTCTTCTATTACGACCGGTCCGTGGCTCACGTAGAAGATGCCTGGCGCTCTAACTTCCTCCACCCCGTTATCTATTACTACAGACACCTCCCGACGGGTGAGCCGGCCCCCATCCCCCCTGAGCTCAGTCTCCTCAGAGGGGGCTCCTCTTGGACCACCTCTGTCTGTCTACACAGCAGTCACCACAAGGCCATGCAGCTGACAGAGCCCCCCCCCCGGGGATAAGCCATGCATGATCTCTGGGCACCATGTCGAGAACAGGGTGCTGTCATGTTGTGGTGTCTCAAAGTGGGGGGGAGGGGCTGCTGCTGAGTATTAAGAAGAATGGATGAGGGCAGGTAAGATGACTGGGTGGGTAGAGGCTCTTACCATGGAAGACTGGAGACCCGAGTTCAATCCCTGAGACCCACATAAAGATGGAAGAAGAGAAATGACTCCCCAAAACTATCCTCCAACCTCCACACAGGCTCTGTGGCATGTGTGCCCATACAGACGATAACAATAATAAACCAGCAGAGTACAACAGTGCCAGCCTAAATTCCCAGTTCTGTCATCACAGCAGTGTGACCTTGGCCATTTTACTTAACCTCTCCGAACTTTCTCCCTGGTCTACAAAACGGGATGGTGATAATTATTTCACACAGGATTGCAGGAGGATATACACAAAATGCCAGCGGCACTAGGGCACAGCCTAGGTACCATGCCTTTTAATTCAGGGCTTGAAGGGTCTCAGGTCAAAGAGGGTGCTCCAGGCAGGTGCCTGTCACCCCAGCACTGGGGAGGCTGGGGAAGGTTTGACAACACTCCATGCCAGCCTAGGCTGTAGAGTGAGCTCCTGTCTCAGAACTGAGTGTGGCGAGGCACCCCTCTGTAATCCCAGCATTTGGGAAATAGAGGCAGGAGGTCCTCCTGGGCTATTTGAGACCCTGTCTCAAAAGACAGAGGTGGCCCAGCTGGGGATTATTCCCAATGGCAAAGGTAGCTTCAACAGATAGAGGGCAGGGTGGGGGAGGTGCACATCTGTAGTCGGTGCCCAAACAGTGGTCAGCTAGGATTGGTCACCTCCTAGAGTCTAGTTTCTAGGGACGATCAGGTGTTGGTCCAGTGGCCTGTGGGCTGGGCCCTTAGAGGACAGGGTCCCATCCACAGCAGTGGGCAGTGAGCCTAGATGAGCCCATGTAGTCAATGGTTCCCATGTTGTACTCAGAAACCACAGGCAGCAGGCCTGGTTCCTCTTCCTCCTTCTACATGAAGGTGGCTGGTGGCCAAGCTGACCACAGCCTGGTAGAAGCACCTCAGGAAGGCTACCGTGAGAGCGGGGGTGGGGGGGGTGCTGGTGTGAAGGGCCTGGCCCTGATGCCTCACTCGCCCCACAGAGCAAGATATGCGGTTCCGGCCTGCACAGTGGCCCCTGCCTCGGCCCGCGGCCATCCATCACATAGTGGAGGACTTCTTGACGGACTGGACAGCCCCGGTGGGGCACATCCTCCCACTGAGACGCTTCCTGGAAAACTGTCTGGGCACGGATCTGCGAAGCTTCTATGCAGGTACCAAGTTCATCCCTGAGAGCGTGGGGTGGATGCCTTAATGTTAGAGTACTAGTGTGCATGGGTTTGAGCCCTAGCACAGGAAAAGGGAGGGGGGCAGGGGAATACAAAGAAGACAGGAGAATATGTAATGAATAACTAGAGACTATCAAAATTGTACAGTTTTTTAAAAAGATGCAGCTGAAACTAATGGAGATAAAAATATTCTTGAAATGAGAAGCTTGGTATAAGCAGCTGGTAGTGCATTAGACAGAGGTGAAGAGAGAATCTGTGAACTGGAAGGCAGATCTGATGGCTGAACGAGGGACCTAAGGCAAGAACTCAAATGATCTAGAGGAGAAAGCAATAGAAACAACCTAATATTGTTAGCCTTTTAAACCCCTGGATGTTACAATTCCAGTGCTTTTTCTATTAGTGAGAGAACATGTCAGACGCCTGTCAAATGTGTGACACTATTCATACCAAGTTAAGTTGGAGACTGACTCTAGCCAAGTCAAACAGCGAGCAGCCTGCTGTATGTACCCTGAGTCTACTTTGAGATAATGGTTTGGGAGCTGATTTGCTACTCCGTGACATCCCAGCCCTGACTATCTAAGTGTCTTCCTATCTTAGTTAACCCATAGAGCCAGAGCTGAATCCCTTTGCATTTCTTTTTTTTGTTTGTTTTGTTTTGTTTTTTTGTTTTTTTGGTTTTACGAGTCAGGGTTTCTCTGTATTGTTTTGGAGGCTGTCGGTCTAGCCTGGCCTCGAACTCACAGAAATCCGCCTGCCTCTGCCTCCCGAGTGCTGGGATTAAAGGCGTGTGCCACCACCGCCCGGCTTCCCTTTGCATTTCTAGCAGTCTGTGAGCATCCAGCCTTGCTCATACGCTGACCCCTGAAATGCCTAGAAAAGAGAACCCTAAGCTCCAAACTGCCTGCTCATTCCCCAAGGCTTCAAGAGTCCACAAAAGTACAGTGGTATGTTCCCACCGCAAGTCATGGTCCAGCTTTGTTACTGACCTGAGCTAGGATGAGTCCTTACAGAAGGCCAGCTGCCATTTAACCATCGCACAGCTGCTGGCTCTGGCCTCAGCCTCTGTTGGGAGTCAGTAACCCTGAGTCCTACAGAGGGATAACAACATCAGAAAGTCATGCTGGCTAAATGACCACATGACCGCCCTTGCATCTGTTCTCTCCCTGGGCAAGGCCTCTGTACTGGGCATCAGAGGTGAAGCAAGAAAGAATATCGTGGAGCCCTTCTTGTCCCGTTCCCCCATGTAACCCTCATCTTCTTTGTATAACACTGTCTTTTCACAAGAGCTAAAAGAATGGAGAAAGTGAAAAGTCTTCCCCCAAAGATGTAGAAGACCCCCAGCGAATGCCTCAATAGATAGAACCAAATATCATACTTACAGTTAGTGGCTTAGGGTCATTCACTTCAGGGGATCCCATTCCGAAATCTCACTATAGACTTGGTCATTGCTGGCACAATACTTTAATGTCAGAATATGAATGTGGTGTGTGTGTGTGTTATGTTTTTCTCTACAAATTTAATGCCTGTTGGTTTTACATGATATTTATCATTGCCACATGGATTTCCTTTTCCATCTCATGAGTTCCAATATAGAAAGTGCATTTTACCATAGCATTTAGCAACTGCACATAAGACTGGGGGCGGGGGCAGGGTTTCTCTGTGTAAGACTTTTTCTCTTGTTCTGAATAGAACCGTCACCTTTTCACTTAGAGGAAATATGTTATGGCTTCCCTTTGCAGAACCTAATTGCTGCATCTCTGGTCTTAAGCTTTGAAGCCATTATTAAACAAGATAAAATAAGGTGTCGTAGTTTGCTTTCATTGCTCTGATAGAACACCATGACCAAAAGCAGTGTGGGAGGAAAACGTTTACTTTGCTTACACTTCCAAGTTGCAATCCATCATGAATGGAGAGCAGGGATCTGGAGGCAGAAATGAAGAGGAGACATGAAGAAACGCCCTTGCTGGCTTGTGCTCCCCATCGCTTACTCACGCGCTTTCTGTGCAGCCCAGGACCACCTGCCCAGGGATGCACCACCCACCCTTCAATTCAGCCAGGTCATCCTGGTCTACAGTGTGAGTTCCAGGATAACCAGGGAATGTGTAAAGAGACCCTGTCTTTTTTTTTTTTTTAAGTTCCCTCTTCCCAGATGACCCTACCCTATGTCAAGCTGACAAAAAGACTAACCAGCACATAAAGGCTACCTGACTTGGGTATATTATGACATTGTGATGATCTTGTTAATGGAAATGGTTACTAAGCGTGGGTAGCACATAGTAGCATGTACAATTTGATAACCACATGACTACCAAGTAACTCATGGGTGGGTTATGTATAGGTTGTGGCTACCTGGACTAAGAAATGATTCCCATCCTATAAATCAAGATGGCTACTAAGTAACTATGGATGGTTACGTGATTCCCATCCTGAGTGAACTGAAACAGAAAGGCTCTGGACTTCATCAAACTACAGGACACACACTATTTAAGGCATGAATAGTTTATTTCTTAAATTTCAGTCCAGTTGTCAGTTGACTGTGGTGAATGACTGAAACCATTGGGAGAAAGAAACCAGAAGGCGTGATCACCCAACTTAGCTGAAGGCTTTTTCCCACCGCCTGACTCTCATTCCCTACAAGGGACGGCCTCTAGCTTTTATGGAGGTTCCTCCTGGTGCCTTCACCTTGCTCATGGATTCTTTTAGTTGTTTCTTCAGATTTCAAAAATAATACATACCCAGAGCTATTTTATCCCTGGTCAAATTTACCATGTGCATCAGTTTCCTGCTGTGGTACAAATAAGGATTTGTCCGTTTTATCTTTTTCTTCCCACAGCTGGGAAGAGAGCTGTGTGTGTGTGTGTGTGTGTGTGTGTGTGTGTGTGTGTGTGTGTGTGTGTGTGAGAGTGTGTGTGTGTGTGTACACCCTAGTGTGTGTACATGCAACATCTCTTAAGAGTTGATTCTCTCCTTCCACCATGTGAGTTCCCATATTCAAACTCAGGTCGTCAGACTTGGCAGCAAACACCTTTTCTATTGAGCCATCTTACCAGCCCTTGAAAAGGGCTTTGTGTGTCGTATTTGTAGCTCAGAGGTTGTTATAGGCAGTGCTGAGATAGAAAGTGGGGCTGACTGCTCATCTCCCTCCAACAAAGGCCAGCTTCCAGAAGAACAGCTGGGGGTCAGCTCTGCAGAGATGGCTCCTGGCCTCTGGTTCCATGCAAAGCTCTAGGACTCATCATTTCTGTGGTCTGCCTGACCCATGACCTCATCAGGTCATGTGTGAGACACCAGGAACGGCAGATGCCTTAGGATTTCTGTTGCTGTGAAGAGACACAATGACCACAGCAACTTTTTTTTGTTTTGTATTGTTTTGTTTTTTTGTTTGGTTTTTCAAGACAGGGTTTCTCTGTGGCTTTGGAGGGTGTCCTGGAACTACCTCTTATAGACCAGGCTGGTCTCGAACTCACAGAGATCCACCTGCCTCTGCCTCCTGAGTGCTGGGAATAAAGGCGTGCACCACCACCGCCCAGCCACGGCAACTTTTATAAAGGAAAATATTTAATGGAGACTTGTTTACAGTTCAGAGATTTAGTCTGTTATTGTCATGGCAGGAAGCAAGGTGGCATTCAGGCAGACCTGGTGCTGGAGAAGGAGCTGAGAGTTCTATATCTTGATCCTCAGGCAACAGGAAGTAAACTGAGTGTCACACTGAGCATAGCTTGAGCAAAAGAGACCTCCAAACCCACCCCAGCAGTGATACACTTCCTCCAACAAAGCCACACCTCCTAATAGTACCACTCTCTATGAGCTTATGGGAGCCAATTACATTCAAACCATCACAGCAGCTTAGGTCGGAAGGCTGCAAGGGCCTTGCAGGGTCCCTAATGAGCACTTCCCCTAGGTCCCCAGCATTGTCCATTCCTCTCCATGCTTCTCTCGCCTCCTGAACTGATACCTTCTTATGCCTTTGTATAGAGTCCTGTTTCCTGTTCGCCCTCACACGCCAGAGGCTGCCCCCGTTTTGCCAGCAGGGGTACCTGAAGATGCAGGGACTTTCAAGCACCAAGAGCCTTCGTCAACATGGTGTGGAAAGCAGGCTCCTACCAGACTACACAGCCATGGAGAACAGCAGCAGGTGGCTTGGTGACCACCCCTCAGCTCCAGGGCCTCTGACTCAGTCCCTTGACAGCAATAAGGAGGAACTCTGAGCATCCTCTCCTGGACTATGGAGGCTGGTGCCTCCCCAGGGCTCTTTCCTCAGGCTCTCTCCCAACTTTCAAACTGCTCAGGACCATCATAGAGATAACAGACAACAGGACAGCCTAGAGAGTGCTGAATGCTGGGACACAGTCATGTGGTGGTGTCCCTTGTGCTGGCCCCGCTCGGTGTTAGATGCAAGGTTAAGAGAGGGGACCTTCTGCCAGGAATGAGATGCCTTCCACAGCCAGCTTGTATCCAACTTGGAGCATCACTAAGTACCACGCTGGTCTGGTGCGTCTGCTGCTAGGACCACTCTCCTTTCCCTTCTGGTTCACTCTGCAGATGGGCTCGGGTCTGCCTGGGGAACAGCTCGCAGCTGAAACCCCCTCATTTCCATAGCGGCATATTAGAATGAAAGCTTGAGGTCTTCACCCATGGGGTAGACAGCTGGGATCTCTGCTCCCCAGTACAGCTATGGACCCCAGCTCAGAAGCATCAACCATCTCTTAGGGTTGGGCCTGCCCGTGCTGCCCTCTCTTTCCACACTGGTTCTCCCCTTCCTGGCACTGGCTCTCAGCAGAACCCCAGTCCCAGGCCGAGAGCAATGGTATAGGACAGGGACAGCAAACTCCTGCAAGGCTGTGCCCAGCTAGCTTCTCAGGAGCAGGGTACCTCAGCGTTATCCTGTCCCCAAGATCACACTCCCAGGGATCAACAGCCTCTGTGCCCCTCTCCCACACTGCTGTCTGGCATCCTAGCTTCATCCTCCTTGAGACCTGCCCAGGCAGGGTGAGGTGTTGCTGTGCATGCTGCCCTGGGCATGGAAATGTTGACACTTGCCGGCTCCTGGCTGCCTTGATGTTCCTCTCCTAGTCGGAGTCACCATATTTCACCCAGGTTGATTGGCAAGCCAAACTGGGGCCCTGCCATCTCCTCCTCTTTTCCAGAGAATTTTTAAACGAGTCTTTGATTTAATGCCACCCCGTGAAATCAAGCCCTGTTCCTCACATCTCCCTCTCCACTCACTGAGGCTGGCTGAGCCACTCTTAGTGCCTTAGCAAGTAGCTGGCTGACACCCTCGTGTATGACATCTGCTGCTTCCTGTCGTCTGCCAGATCATTGGTTCTGTCAAATATCAGGCAGCCCTATTTGTTTTCAACACAGAGGATTCTGTTCTTGCTCAGATGACTAGGGATGGCTTTTTTCCCTGATGGGGTGTTGCCGTGTCCTGGCCTAGTACACATTACAAAGCGCAGCCTGCTCCCATGATAAATACCCTGCCTCAGCCTTCCAAGTGTTGGGATCTCAAGCTTGAGCCGCAGAAAGTGTTTTAAGATTTATGTGTACTTGTTTGTGTCTGTGTGTGGAATGCACATAAGTGCCGGAGCTCAGCGGCAAAAGAGGGTGTCCTCAGAGCCCTGTAAGACCGGATTTACAGGAGGTTGTGAGCCCCCGTACGTGGAGGCTGAGAACTGAGCTCTAGAAGAACAGTAAGTGCTGAGCCAATGCCTTTGGGACCACTCCCCCATAACTATTTTAAAGAAAATATTAAAAATACGGCAAGCTGGAAATGGTACACACCAACGTCCTAGCACTAGGGTGGTCAAGGCAGGAAAATTGAGGTTCAAGGCCAGCCTGGGCTCCATGGAGAGTTCTAGAATAGTGCAGGCAACATAACAAGATCCTGTCTCAAAAAAGAAATCTCAGCACTCCCAAGGCAGAGGCTGGAATATCACTTGTGAGTAAATTCAAGGCCAGCCTGGTTGACCCGGCAAGTTCCAGGCCAGCTAGAGCTACATAACGAGACCCTGTCCCAATAAATAAATAAATGAATAAATGAATGAACAGAGATTTTTGGGAGGCATGAGCAAAACCAATTGTTGGGAAGGGACTGATTGTTACAGGTGAGGAATACAAAGTAACTTTTCATGACCTCCTCTTAAATGGTGCAGAAGGGAAGAGCACCGATGAGATGGAGCGCAGCTGCGGCTGAGAGGATGGGAAGCCACAGGTCGTCAGCAGTGCCTCTGCTGGGGCTGTGGGACAAGGCTCTTTTTCCCTCTCGTGATCTAATTTGTGATTATTTTTCAAATGTGATTATATGCTACTGAAGTAAAAATCGTTTATTTTTAAACCATTTCTGCTCTTGAATTTGGGGGTTGCTGGGGAAGGGTGGACATGGGAGCCCTTGCAAGAGCCTGTGCTCTGCTGTGATGGTCCAGGCGGTGACTGGAGAGAGTTACCCTAGCTGAGATCACTAGAGGGAAGGATTGCACCATGCATCGGGAAGTAAGCAAACTCAGAGTAAGGAAGATGAACCTGCAACCCTAGCACCTGGGAAGTAGGAGGTACAGACAGGAGGAACACAGGTTCAAGGTCACCCTGGGGCACACAAGAGCCTGTCTTTAAGAAAAGAAGAAATGAGCCGGGCGTTGGTGGCGCGCGCCTTTAATCCCAGCACTCGGGAGGCAGAGGCAGGAGGATCTCTGTGAGTTCGAGACCAGCCTGGACTACCAAGCGAGTTCCAGGACAGCCTCCAAAGCCACAGAGAAACCCTGTCTCGAAAAAAAACCAAAAAAAAAAAAAAAGAAAAGAAATGCCACATCTTTCAGCCCAGCCTTCAGGAGGCACAGTCAGAAGCAGGTGGGTGTCTGTGAGTTCAAGGCCAACAAGCTACATAGTGAGATCCTGTCTCAAAACAAATAAAGTAAATAAATAAATGAGGTTGCCCAGGCTAAAGGAAATGAGCAGGTGAGTCAGGCATCTCTCACGTGGAGTGTCTGAACTGATGACTGAGCACAGCATGGCCATCTTTGGAAACATCTTCTCCCAACCAAATGATAAGAAATCAGAGACAATATCCCTCCTCTGGGAGAGGCTCCCCAGGACTGATGTCCAATGCCTTGGATAGCCTCCAATTCCTTCTGACTGATAAAACTGGTTGTTGTGGGAATTTGTTTAGCCAATAGCTTTTGGGGTACCAGCCCTTTGGGACATGGTCTGAGGTGCTTCCTGTGGACTGATAGTGAAGAGAAACATGGCTCACTCCCTTGTGTGGTGGTTGAAGATCTGATCGCAGCTTCCAGCGCCCCTGGGCAGAAGACCATGGTAGCTCTCTACCTGATTGTCATTAGTGAGTGTTCCCCAAATAAATACTTGACATCCCTTTATTGTGGACTCTCATACCATTTGTCTACAATGGGGGTGTCCCTGAAGTCTGCCTGAAAAGCAGTGGGTTCAAAAGTGAGTCTGTGTCCTGAGGTCTATAATGCACAAAGCCCTGCATTCGTGGCAATCCAGTATGGCACACAGAACTGAAACCCCAGTTCTTTCAGGACGCAGAAACAGGAGGATCAGAAAGTCGGGATCGCACTGGGCTATGTAGCGAGTTTGAAGCTAACCTAGGATACATCACATGGTATCTTTTTGAAGCCCACATAAGCTCGGTAAAATCCTATAATCCACACTTAGGAGTTGAAGGGAGGAGGATCAGTAGTTCAAGGCCAATCTCAGCCACATCTGAGTTTGAAGCCACCCTAAACTATGTAAGACCTCAAACCACATACACAAGAAACCATGTGGTCCAGAACTGAGACCTGCCTGAAAACACAGGTGACCTTAAAATGGACCATAGGGAAACCAGGTTAGTATAACAGCTGCATTCATAATTAAGTCCAAGTCACCAATAATACACTGGTGTCACATTAAGGAAAGAAACCAAAGCGGGTCCCCTCAGTGTCACTTAATCAAAAGTGAGATCAATTTGAAGTCTCTACTTCATGCTCCTGGTGTCCTCTGTCTGTCTGTTCTATGAGTCTAGAGGTGTGCCTGCCTGAAGGCTGTCTGTCTCTGAGTATGTCTGAGAGTGTGTCTTTAAGGAAGGGTTTTGCTCTCTCCTTTATTGAACAGGGCAGAAAGCTGTTTGATGGTGAAGGAGCAGGACACTACAGAAATCTTGAACAGTTTTACAAGGGATTAAGTCACTGGCTCCAACAGACACCAACTGACCCAGACAACAAACACTGCTACAAACATCACTGTTTATTAAGAACTATCCATATGATGCAGTCAACATTTATGGATATTTTTATACGACTGCTTCCTCCATATGTTTGCTGTTTCCAGCAAATAATTATAGTATGCACTCCTCTTGGATCAGGGGCCTGGAAAAGTACTTAGTTTAAGATTACAGCTATGCATTGGCTTAGGTTGTAAAGGCGATTACATGGGAAGTCCAGGGCAAGTAACGTTGATCGTTACACCGTTCCCTTGAGGGCAGACTGAGTATAGAGGGACAGCACTCTTAAGTCTTAAGTGACCTGCAGGTGTGAGATCCAGCAGAAGCTCCAGTTTTTATAACATAAAAGGAATTTTTAACATAATGCATTGCCACAGCCACAGGCCCACCCCCACAGAGCCTGATAAGAGGCCCTGAGCCAAAGCCTCCCAGGCAAGCCACTACAGATTCCTGACTACAGGCACTTTGGGACAGTGTTTGCAGCTTAGGCTGTTAAATGGATGGGAATTTTGTTACACAGCATCTGATGACTAATACATGCTTGACACCGATTCCATTCTCACCACAAACACATGAGATGACTGTCCTCACTCTAGACAAGCGAGGCTGAGACTTGAACTTGGGTCCTCTGGAAGAGCAGCCAGTGCTCTTTTTTTTTTCCAGACAGGGTTTCTCTGTGGCTTTGGACTCTGTCCTGTAACTAGCTCTTGTAGACGAGGCTGGCCTCAAACCCACAGAGATCCACCTGCCTCTGCCTCCTCCCAAGTGCTGGGACTAAATAAAGGCTTGTGCTACCACTGCCCAGCACAGCCAGTGCTCTTAACTGCCATCTTTCTAGCCTCAGAGGTGTTTAGTTTGGGCTCACAGTGTGAGGGTCCAGTCAGTCATGGTGGAGACAGCTTGGCCTCTGGAGTGGGCGTGGCCTCTGGAGTGTGGGGCTGCTGGCCGCACTGCCTCCCTAGTTAGGAGTCAGAGAGAACTAAATGCTGGTTCTTGGCTCATTTCCTCCTTTTTATTCTGTTTCGGAGCCCAGCTCATGGGATGCTGCTACCCACATTCTGGGTTGGTCTTCCTGCTTCCTTAAACCTTTCTGAAACTCGTTCAGACGAGTTACATTTCAATGATAAGTCTAACCACAGTTAACTTGACAATGAGGATTAACTATCATGGCCACCTAGTCCTCCATGTGGGTTTCCTTCGAGTGAACAATGGGTGACAATTCTTTTTTCTTTTGTTTTTATGGGTGTCTGTTTCCTTTCATTTAATTTTTTATTAATGCGTTCTTTTCTCACCAACTGCCACGGGTTTTGCTTATTTCTTTTTTCACATTACATTCAGTGTGTGTGTGTGTGTGTGTGTGTGTGTGTGTGTGTGTGTGTGTGTGTGTAGGCATGCACACCACAGCAGACATGTGGAGATCAGGATAACTTGAGGGACTCAGTTTCCCCTCCTATGATCTAAGTCCCGAATATTGAACTCAGATCATCAAACTTAGCAGCAGACACCTTTGTCCACAGAGCCTCTTGCTAGCTCAAGAATTCCCAAACCTATCCCACAATCCCTGTTCCCTCTCCTCAGCAGGACTCCCTGAGCTCCGCCCAATATTTAGCCATGGGTCTCGGAACCAGCCTCCATCAGTCATTAGATGAAGGCTCTCTGTAACAACTGGAATAGTCACCAATCCAATTATAGTCTGTTCAGGCTGTAAGCATCCAGGAACACCTTGGCTCCACTCCTTGGGGAACATAGCAAGCAGTACCCAAAGGCAAGCCTTGCTTACTCCCATTCTTTTTCTCTCACTGTTCCTCTGAAGAGGCAGACAGGTCTTTGCCTCCCTATCCTCCCTCCTTTCCTCCCCTTTCCCTTCCCTTACTATCTTCCCTTCACCCAATAAAACTTAACACATAAAAAAAAAAAGAATTCCCAAACCTAGAAAAACATATGGTTCCCATGGTGAGGCTGGGAGAAGGTGAAAGGACAGTTGGGTGACAGCAATTACACACAGGTGCCAAATGAGCCCCCTCCCCCACCAAGGCATGGTAGACCCCAGCCCTTGGCAGACTCCAGTCTCCAGTAACCTCAGCTCCACAGCCAATTAGAACATCGGTCACCAAGCCAAACTGGACTTTGCTCTCAAAACTAAGCCATCGACGGCATCATTCCACTGCAGATGCTTATTTTAAAATACAGGGGAAACGCTGACTGGATAAAGATCTCTGTCAGACTGTGGGCTTTAAAAAAGCATTTAATCCAAGCTGGCATCCCAGACGGAATGTAAATCTGCTTCAAAGCGAAGCTGATGGGCAAGTAGGAGATGCTGCAGCCTGAGTATCTAGTCCAAGTGCATCCCACAACCAGTCCATCAACCCGAAATAAAAAATAGCACGCAACAGATGTACCTCAGCAAAGAAGAAAGGAACAACAGGCAACCCTGTCTCGCTCCTTCCTCTGGTCTGCATAAAGAAGTCTGCTTTGCCGGCTCTTCCACAGAAGCCCCATTGCAAAATCTTCCAAAAGTTTGTCACCTGCTTCTTCATGTCCCTCTGAGATGCTATCATCGCTAACCTAGTCTCTCAAGTTGTTTCAAATCATCAAGAAATAATTGGATGCAAAAAGAAAAAAAAGCAGGAAAAGATGATGGTGGGATATCTCGGTGTGTCTGGAACGTGGCATTATCATCTGGTCTTGCGGTTTTGAAACAAAGTGACAACCAAAATGCATGAAGAGATCCCTACGACCAGCTTCACTGGAATTTAAACAAGTGTGTTGAGAGATGTACCCAGAAGCCTTGATCTAAGGCACTACCATAGATTAAAGATAGGGCAAAATCTGGCCACCATGAGGGTGTGTCCATGCCCACCTGTTGAATCGTGGTGGGCCAAAGGAGATAGAAACAGTAATATTCCAGTAACCCAGCACAGCCTTAGGAGGCTGGCAGCTCCCAATATCTGGGCGTCCAGAGCTACCCTGTGAGGAAGCCCCATGGAGAGAGAAGCCCACAAGAACAGGAGTGAGGTGCCTGGCCATGCTGCCAGCCAGTGCCACAGAAGTCCTGTGAGACACATGAAAACAGTGCTCTGGCTCACTTGACTATCACTAGGGCAGCATTTGGAAAA